TTCGAAGGCATTGAGGTAGCCTCCTCTGATCGACTTTTTGCCGTTTCATCACTAAGGTGACATCTGAATATTTCTAGCTATTCGAGATCGATAATAGTCGTCAGTGGCCATCAAGCAAATTTATATAATCATTGAATTTTGTCTAGTTCTCAAATAAATTCGCTGAAATCTTTGAAATATCTTCATTTTTAAGTTCTTTTAGGAGTTTATTTTGATTTTTAGCTGTTCGAAATGAAAATCATAAGTAAAATTTGCAGAGAATGTTGTCTATGAATCCAATGAAATGGTTAAACTTACCGACTAATACCAATACTCGCTGTTGTTTTCGGAGACAGCGGAGCCAGCGGAAGAATTGCTGTGGAAAGCGACATGGGCACGGATTTTATCAGCTCATTCCGATTGAAATCTGAATTGTGCTGGTGTCTTTCTTTTGGAAAATTATCTCTAGTTCGATTGATGATTTGAGTTTGATACAAATGAAATTTGGTGTGCAACGGCATGCAAATATTTGACGCGATAACGCATGCTATTATCGAGCCACCACACCAGTAAATTGGAGCAAAATTTAACCAAACCTAGTGATGAGTTCTGGAATGCTGGTGGAGAGCTGCATTGGTCGAATTTCAGTGACATCGGCTCAAAACTGTAGAAAAGGGCCGGAAAATGATCCACCATATGATGGATGAATTCGAGACGAGCCGCAAAGGTTCGTCTACATTGACGACATCCGCCGATTGCCAGAGGTACAGCCGCCGTCATCGACGTGGTCAACGGCTCGGACATAGCGTTAAATGGTTGAGGTCGTCTCAGCGGCTGGAGCTGAAATACGAAAGCGAATGCGATCAAATCATCAAAATCGTTCTAATTTGATGGAAATTGGATCATCTTATATGATGGATGGCTGTGATTTAACGTAAATGCCATGAAAGTCTTGCAGAGAGAGATACCACTAAGTTCGAATTCCATCCACAAATGTTACAGTATCGAAGCGCAAGGTAATTTATTTCATAGTTAATGAAATTGTTTTGAAATTAATCCATTCCAGAGTTTGAATGTTAGCTTGAAAATCTTCACTGATTACGTTTGATTCATTGAAATTCTCCCTTCGAAACGTTGACATATGAGGGGAGCTAACTCGTAATTGTCGTGTTGCTGCTGAGTTGTTGGAAGATTTAAATTTCTCGGATGCGCCAGTTCCAGTTCCAGTTCCAGAGCTGCTTCCTGACCTAACACTTAAGTGCTCTGCCTCAGCTCTGTTGCTTAGATGAGAGGTCAGATGCACTGATGACTTGGTGGAATGCACACTGACTCCAAGAACATCAATAAGTTCATCTAGGCGACTTCGTTTTCTTGATGATCCGACTGAGCCCGGGCTGACAGAGGAGCCGGCTTCGGCTTTGGACGATAACATCTAAATTTAAAGGATTCAGTGGGACTATATCCTGCTGAATACATCTGAATAGTAACTCGGGTGTTTAATGCAAGATATAATTTATTTAACGGCATAAATTACGGTTCGTTACCACTGTTTCCAGAGTTCTAAATAGGTCAGCTCAATTTATCACTGCTCATTGGGCACTTTCCATCCCATTCTTGAGATATAAACCAGTATGTTTGGTGTCTTCCGGGCAGGAGCACATGAATCCAGATAGATCATCCCAAAAGCCATGACAGCGCAGAACTAACTAATAACTATTGTTCTTGGCAATTTTAGTCAATGCGATAAAACTGATCAAGTTTACGATCAGAAGCATCTGATCGCAGATTTGATCACCGAAATATTCACGATCACAGCATACATTCATTTGGAGGATTCTCGGTACTGAATGGTGATATCACGATAGCGTTTGAAGGATTCATTCGATCAGATCGATATCATGGGAGAAGTGTGAAAGAAATAAGGTAAACGGTGAGAAATATTTCGGTACAATGGAAACTACTGTCAAATCGTGTGAAATCTATCCAGTTTTAAAGCAAAAAACTGGTTTCTTTGAATGGCAAATTCACTTTGATGTGAAACTTGGGAAATATATCTGAGAAAATAGCTGAGGTAAAGCCGTGGGACGTGATGTTGATGAGGAATAAACACGATTGAGCATTCGCATGAGATTGTTGAGGACTGAAAGCGATTGTTCTGCCCGAGGGTGTTTTCATATAATAGCGTGAGAGTGCCATATGGGGACACCTTGGGCAAGCCTCAAGGCATTCAACGTTCCCATTCTCGGCTTTAACCCTCTGGCTAGTGCTATCGTTATTATTATTAACAATATTACTCCTATTAATATTACGATTGTGTTCTTTCTATGGCTAGGTTAAAGCGAGCTTCACTAATTGTGAGTATCCGTCTCGAAATAAAGGAAGTAATTTTTCCGATTGTGAGGTTCAGACGGCATTTCAAGGAAAATTTTGCGTCTGGAAGTTTTTTTAAGCAGTTTCATGGTTAATATATCGAGCAATTAAAAATTTGATGGGACTCAGCGATTTTAATGATTGTTGATTAATTCACCTCATTTCTAGTCGGTCGGCTAGACGATAATCAGAACAGTGAACTGGTGCTATTGACAAATTATTAGTTGCACAATTAGAAATAATTTTGGGCAATGCGATAGAACTGATCAAGTTTACGATCAGAAGCCACTGATCGTCGACTTGATCACTGGAAATATTCACGATCACAGTAGAGGAGATTCGTCTAGAGGGTGCTCGGTACTGGATGGTGATATCACGATAGCATCTGCATTGCTTGATACTAGCCAAATATTTTAGCCTTCCTTAATTTCGTCTAAACTCGATAGTACTGAATAGCTCATCGATTGGAAGATAGCAAAGTCAGTCTCGAAATAAATTGTGTTTACTCAGTATGACTAGAAGGTTGAAATGAAATCTTTCATGTTATTTAATTTCATATTGCTTCATTCGAATGTAAACCCTTGTCTCATTGGCTTGGCCACCCACTTCTGCGAGCTCATTTTCTGGATTTGAGTGGTACTTTCGTCGGTCAATCTCGAAAATGAATTCGAATACCATGAAGATAAATAGTAGTCGAATAGACATTCTGCATTGTCATTCCTTAAAAGTACATCAGATCGTTAGCTGTGTCCATGTAATATTTCAAAATGATTTTCTCAGTCTTGTAGTTGACAATTTTATGTCAATTTCACACTGAATTTTTGCCAATTTTCATTTTGAGATTATGAATTCATCCACAATTCAGTGGTTTATTAGAATGAGTTCGCTTTTATATGAATTTCTTCCGTATATTTGCAGTTTTATTGTCCTAACGTCAAGCAAATCTTCCTAGAGGACTGATTTTGAGATTCGTTTATGAATTCACGATGAAGAAATCAAGTTAACAGGCCGGTTACTACAATTCGGCCTCATAGACGAGATTCCAGTTCAGTTGAAATTTTAATCTTTTCCTTACCGAGGCTTCGAAAGCGTCAAAATGAATCAAATAATCATGATTGCGTATTGATTTCGTTTGTTTGCTTTTTTTTTTGATAATCCGATGTGACAAAATTAGGAGACAATGACGAATAATTGACTCGGAGAGCAATTTTGCTCTAGCTGGTGGATGTACTTTTGATTAATGTTTTGGATCGTAGGTGTTGATGGCGCTAGTTTTTGAGTGGCTAATCGTGAAAATGATTGATGGATTATGTGAGCGTCATGGATTGTTTGATTGTTTGATTGATTGATTGACAAATTATTAGTTGATAGTTTGATCAATCAAGATAGATCATTTGATCTATTCATTCAGCAAATCATTTCACATTTCCTATCTAAGGCTATCCAAGATCACTCTAATTATCACTATTTATCACAGCTGATTGCTTTTCTCATCGTGACGTTTGACAAACGATTTTGCATTTTTTAAAAATTTCATCCACAAAAAGCAGCCGTGTGAATTTTCAACAAACACGGAGGATGTCGTCAATTTTTTGGTATCAAATTCGGCGATGAGGCTTCCTGTTATAAGTAATAAAAAATCACTTCTTCTCATCTGGAAATTAAAAAATTGCCTTTTCAGTTGATTAATAACTGCATCACGCAAGCTTGACTAGCACTTGCGATGATGTTGAATTGAGTGCCGCATAAAAACAGTGTCATGGCGTCATTAAAGTGAGAAAATTAATTAGTAGTTACCAATGGGCATATGGAATCGATGACGTTTTCAGTTCTTAGGGAATTCTGGACGTAAATTTTCGTCATTCTGCAAATGAAATTTGTCAACCAGCTGCGCATGGATACTGTGATCCGGAACCAGGAACCAGCGATGAATTGACTGTAGAGTAGTGGTTGGTCCCTACATGGAGAAATTGTCCATTTTAGGTAATTTGGGGGTGTTTAGGGGGGTAGCGGGGGTTGGGGGTCGGATAGAATCCACGTCATTATTAGAGAATTCATTGTATCAATTTTTAATGATAATATCGAATTCGACGGCTGAAATGATGATGATGGCTTGTCTGTTCGTTTGCTGCAGACGGCTTTCACATTTTTGGCAGTTTTCGTGGAAACACGACAATTTAACAAGAGGCAATCAATCAACAAGCAGCAATATTTTTGATTAATGAATCTGAATATGAATCTGAGTGCTCTGATATTCTCAAAGGGATCGGATATTTTTATCGTAGCTCTTAAAGCATTCCGTTATGACAAGTCAGTATGCGTTTATTGACAATTTGTGAATTTCTTTGGGAGCTTTTTTATCGCATTTTAAGGATTAAGTAAGGAGTTATCGTCAGATCATCATAGAGTAGCCTTGGCTATCGTTTTTGGGCTTATTTTAAGAACAATTCAGCCGCAAATGCGTTTAGTGCTGTTAGCGATGAGAACACTTTAAATTGTTCTGCAAATTATCCCATCAGACAGATCAACGATCCGTAATCCGAAAATATCCGCAGAGAAAAATTTCAGTTGCGTTCATCTTCAAGTGGAAACGGATATTTCCAACGATGAATATAGTGAGAGCAACTAGCAGGATTATCTCGTCATTCCAGCTTTACCTATCCTGAGGTCTTATCCTAAGTTTACGTTGAAATTGTGGAGTTGATAGTTTGAGAATAAGGAATTATTTGTTGTAAAATTCATTTCAACGCAAAATTGCGGCAGAAAGCGAGAGCTAATCCCAGTGTAATCCATNATCACAAGAATATGTCTCGAAAAAGGGTATTTCACAAAGTATTCTCGTTCATAGCGTTATGTGAGCCCATGCGACTGGAGGCGGAACCATCGGATATATCGGCGATATCCATCGATATCCAGCATCACTCATTGTCGCTATCGGAGGATTAAGGAACTCCACAGCCATTCTAAAGTCTAGCCGGATGCTTTCAAATAAGGTGTGAGCCAGCAGTCTCTGGTTCGTTGTTGACGTTGAACTGTCGTATCCAAATCGCAAGCTTTTGCAATCCCAGATCGTATGGGGCACCTGGGGATTCTAGGGTTCATCCCAAATATCTTCTGAAACATTTTGTGTGGTGAGAAAAAAAATTGAACATCCGAATCATTTGTCGGAAATAGGACTGTTCTAAATGACGTGTTCTGAGTTCTGAGTAGACATCGACTTTTTAAGATTGATCGTTCTGCCTTAACGATCTACATTAACGATCCCAAGCAATTGGCTAATGCAGTCAGCTTTATGAGCCGAGATCAATTGGATGGCCGGATGGATATAGCTCAGTTGGATTAGCTAGCAGTAGTGATAATCATAAATTTTGCCAATGTACAAACGTTTCATTCAATTGGCTGATCCACTTTATTGGTTGATATCAATTATACGGGATGATACTCTAAAGATGTGGAATTAGTTTTCTGTTGTCGTACATGATTAGGTTATAAATCATGATAGTCTGTCGATCGTGAATGTTATTCTCNATTAGTTTTCTGTTGTCGTACATGATTAGGTTATAAATCATGATAGTCTGTCGATCGTGAATGTTATTCTCGAAAAAGTCTACTTTTAGACGCCTCCCCGAGACGTTTTCTTTATATTCATCAATTTCTAGTCATTGGTTAGTTTGAGTGAAATTCATCCAGTGGACGAAGTTTTAAGCCGAATTTTTTCGATTTTGAAACATTATTTCGCCGCTGGTTTCTGCATTTTGCTTCAATGTTCTTACAATTAGAAGTATTCACGGATTTCTTCTCAATTTTTATCATTTTACTATCACATTTTCGACAATTCAATTGAGTGAGAACGTCATCTCCTTTGATGGGTTCAATTGCTAATTTTCAAGACAGCGATCATATCTGAAAGTTTTTCGTTGTTATCAAATGTTCATGCAAATGAACAGGTTGTATTTCAGGTAGCTGAGAAGTACAATCAAACAAGCGAGAATCAAGCATGAAACAAGTCTGCACACTACTATCAATTGTTTTTATTATTACACTGGTTGATAATATCGACGC